TTTTCCTTCAAAGAGAAACTGTACCAGGAAGGAGATGATCTTCAGCCAGGGTCTTCTCTTACTGATGCTTATATATGCGGTGAGAAGACACCAACATTTTAAAATCTCCACAAAGCCACCACTCATAAGGCTGTCAAAGGGAAGATGCATCACAGTGTTTATACCTATAGGCATATTTCACTTTCTATTAGGTAGCTCGCCTACCTGTCATAAGCCCCACATAGCAATAACTGTAGCACAGTATCTCCACCAGTCCTGGCATTTGGGGAATCACACCAATCTCTGGAGACCTGGGGCACGATGTCACCTCCTGCTCCTTCGCCTGAATGAATTCTCGCACCTCATCGGCTATGCTCACCATCTGGGAGACACCAAGTAAAGTACATGACGAAGGACTTGCTTCCCCTTCACCCAAGAACTCTTACTCTAGCCTTACCCAACCGCATCTTAGGACGGCTACCTTAAGGGTGAGCAAAAGTTGCACACACTTGGTGAGAAGTGTTGTCTGGGGATACTTGAAGGAGGTAAACTTGTGGAAAAAGAACAGGTAGGAAAAGGTCCATCCTAACGTCAGATGGTGGGAATACCTATTTTAAAAAAGAGAACATGTAACGATTAATAAATTATCTATATCAGAGTTTTAAGTATGTGCTTCCGTACTGACTGTCCCACTTCTACTGACCTATATTCTAACCAAACATGCATTTTCAGAGGATCCAGAAACCCTAATGTTAAGGTGGGGTTCACACATGGGCTATGCCATAATGTGTATTGTTTGGTTTTGGCTTAGCATGGTTTGTTAAAACAGCGGTTTATGGCTTGGTGTATTAAGTGAACCCAAGAAACCATGACTTATTCAATGAGTCCCAAACCACTGGTTACTGCAATGTGTGAACCCAGCTGCCAGAGAATGGGAAAGAGGGCCAGGAACTTCCCAGATACTCACAGCCACACACAGTTATACAATGATCTTAGCTTCACAAACTGTGTATACATGGTTCTATACAATTTCACACAAGCTTTTTATAGGGTCTGGTCTGTTTCATTTCCTCCTTCCCACCAAGGCTTTCTATGCTCTCACTTCTATACTAGGAAGAGACCAGGAAGAGGGAAAAATAACTCTTTTCTGGGCTTCTGGCACGCCAGCCTCTTTCTTAAGCTGCTCTTGCTCATGTCTTGGTCTCTTCTCCAAAAGCTGCAGTTCTTTCCACCAGCCCCTTCACTCAGCAGATGTGTTTTGGGGCGTTCTTGGTCCTGCTGGATTTCCAACTTTCCTCCCCCTTGATACAAGATAGCCTGCCAGTCCACACCGTACAAAAACTTTAGGGATTCCCAACAACTCCTCCTCCTCCACTACTTAATGGTTCTGCTTTCTTATGGATTTGTAGATGCAAGGCAGGTGTTTAATTAGACGCTAAGCTTGTCACTGTCCGTCAAACCAGGCCTGGTTTGCCCCCCGCCTGCCAAAACCCTTTAACCTTGAGACCTTTGCATCATCCCAAATTCATCATGGCAACTCATCCTGACACAGGCCAACATCCAAAGAGCTACCAGCTCCTTTCTCCAAAATCCCTGCCTCTATGTTACTTCAATTCTCTACTAATTACATTTATTAGAATTTAGGAACACTGTGAAACCAAATCCCATTTTTGCATTTCAGATCATTTCCCTGCACCTGACCTGCACGCTACTCTTCTCTTCTGGACAACCAAAGCTTTCAAATCTTCCCAGCCTCTCACGTACAAACAGCAAAAGCATATTGTTCCCTGCAATATTCTGCCAGTTCAGATTTTTTTTTTTTTTGGTCCTTTAACTTTGTGTGGTTTTTGTTATTAGCCAATGTCCCAGGGTG